GCTTGTTTTTTTAATTTCGCTCAAAACTACTCAAGGACTACCTGCGCTAGCCTTCCCTTATTTTGGCTGGAGACGGCTTAAATGGGTAATGAAGAAAAACTTTAATATAAGTTTAACATAACAGCAAATGTACAACGTTTCGACAAGGTTTTGTCATCATCAGGTACGAAACGTTGGACATTTGCTGTTATGTTAAACTTATATTAAAGTTTTTCTTCATTACCCATTCAAGCTGTCTCCAGCCATTATCCAAACCATTATTTAAACAACAAAACGTTTTTTTTAAGAATCAAAAGAAAACTGAACACATGACTATTTTTATTATTAATTCCTAACTTTCACTAAAGATGTCAACTAAAAGCAAGTAATATGTGTTATGTTGAACGAAATACATCGCGGAATGTGTTTGAAGCGGGAATAATAAACAAAAAGGTTTCTTATTGACACGTTATTGATAACATTTTCCAGAAAAACAAACTTGTAGTGCAACCCAAGAGTAACAAAGTTGCTGCATGGAATATGTTGAAAAGTTTTATCTGTTTAACACCCACATAAACATGATATCGTAATGAAGAGGTAGTTGACACCCGTATAAACATGATATGGTAATGAAGAGATATTTGACACCCACAAGAACATGATATCGTAATGAAGAGATATTTGACACCCACAAGAACATGATATCGTAATGAAGAGATATTTGACACCCACAAGAACATGATATCGTAATGAAGAGATATTTGACACCCACATGAACATGATATTGTAATGAAGATATATTTGACACCCACATAAACATGATATGGTAATGAAGATATATTTGACACCCACAAGATATCTCTTCATTACCATATCATGTTGTGACACCCACAAGAACATGATATCGTAATGAAGAGATATTTGACACCCATATAAACATAATATGGTAATGAAGAGATATTGGACACCCACATGAACATGACATCGTAATGAAGAGATATTTGACACCCACATAAACATGATATTTCAAAGAAGAGTTATTACCTATCGTACAGAGATGATGATTTCAGTTATCAAAAGTTTTCGAACGAGGGGAGAGGGGGGGATAAACGACGTGTCAATTACAAAAAGAGTATCCAAGTGGGTATGAAGAGGTGGTTAATGTGGCCCAACTGTGAATTCGAAGATTCATGGTTCACGTCCCGTTGCCGCGAAATGCACTCCGCATTTTCTTGTCGTCGGTTCGCTGCCTTCCCTCTAGTCTTACACTGATAAATTAGGAACGGCTAGCGCAGATAGCTCTTGTGTAGTAGGAACGGCTAGCGCAGATAGCTCTTGTGTAGTAGGAACGGCTAGCGCAGATAGCTCTTGTGTAGTAGTGACGGCTAGCGCAGATAGCTCTTGTGTAGCTTTGCGCAGATATATCTAAAATAAACAAATTATGTCCAAGTTATACAACTCTCTCTCTCTCCCATATGTCAACTACGGTTATTAACAGATAAAACAGTTTATCGCGTGGTAATTAAAACACGCAATATGGTCAACAGATTCGTTCGTTAAGTTGTATGAATGTGACACCAGTAAGGCTTAGCAAGAACGTGTTATATTTTATTCATGACAGCCAAGAAGAAATAACAAGAATATATTAAACCCTTAGAACACAATACATCATCCACTCGAGTAAACTGTATATCGTCGTAATATATCTTTATTTAGACAAGAACGTAAAATTACACTTGACAATAACATATTTTACGTTTCGCTACACCTTGACGTGAAAACAGACAGATACTGTTTATCACAAAATATATTTACGCACGCTTCGACTTCTTTAAAACACTCTGTACAATAATAAGTGGCAGAATTCAAATACTAATTTTAAATATCAAACTTCAAACCACTTACAAAAAAAAATTCAATTCTCCTCTCGGTTTGCCCCCCCCCCCAGTGTCTGCGGACTTACAACGCTAGAATCCAGGTTTCGATACCCAACTTTAAACCACTTACAAAGAAAATTTCAATTCTCCTCTCGGTTTGCCCCCCCCCCCAGCGTCTGCGGACTTACAACGCCAGAATCCGGGTTTCGATACCCGTGGTGGGCAGAGCACAGATAGCCCATTGTGTAGCTTTGTGCTTAATTACAAACAAACCTCTCGGTTTAACCCAGCATCGTAAACTTAAGAGGAGCGGAATGATTTGAATGTGACAAATATTACGAACACAACCATGACAACGATACTATAAACCAATCTATTTAATTATTCGTAATTTCAATCCCAAGCGTCATCACTTTGTTATGGCGCCAGATGTCTCATTTAAATGGAATTTTGATAAGCAGTTAATTTAGATATAACAGCCTCGCTGGTCCTTCCATATAACAAAGGAACATCAGTTATCCTCTAAGACAGACTTATTTTTAATGCAGTTCAGCGTATAGATCTTTGATAGTTCTTAATATATTTGTCTTATTCTTATTTTAAGTTGGGGTTATCCTGGCTTTCCCCTTGTCCATCTTAATCTTAAATTTGACCTATTTTCGTGTAAATCAAAACTATTTTGGCCCGGCATGGCCAGGTGGTTAGGGCGTTCGACTCGCAGTCTGAGGGTCGTGGGTTCGAATCCCCGTACCACCTAAACATGCTTGCCCTTTCAGCCGTGGGAGCGTTATAATGTGACGGGCAATGGTAAAATGAGTAACTTAAGCGTTAGCGGTGACGA